CGGTCTTCGTGCCCATCCTTTCTGGATCCACTTCGACCCCCGACGCCGTGATCTTGCCATGACGTGACGCTGAAACAAAAATGCCCCCCCCCTCCCCGAAGACCGGTTTTTCATCCTGAGCCGTCCCTTGACAGCCCCGAGGCGGGGAAAGGGCCCCCCAGAGGCCGAAGACAGTGAAAAAGCCTCCCGCCGTGATTTTGTTCGCAGCGCGAGGAGGAGGAGCTCTGGGAGCTCTGGGCCGCCGACCTCTGTCCCCGCCGCTGCCGCCGCACCCGCGGCGGCGATCTGGGCGGCGGCGGCCGCGGCCCGGGCCCTCGCCCGCCGCGAAACCGGCGCCATACGGGGCCCGCCGCGAGGCGGCCGCGCGCCTGCCGCCCCAGCGGGAGCAGCCCGAGCCAGACCGGCTACAGCAGTCGCAGGCGATTCCTTTCTCCCCCGAGCCCTCGACTTCTCGAGGGAGGAGGGAGGAGGGAGGAGGAGGAGGAGGAGGAGGAGGAGGAGGAGGAGGAGGAGGAGGAGGAGGGAGGAGGAGGGGGAGGAGGAGGGGGAGGAGCCCGAGGAGGATAACGAAGCCGCTCAGAAAAGGAGGGAAACTCCTGGGCTACACCCCAAGGGGGCCACTCGGATGCACCCCCATCGAGGACGGACGCCCCCCCCCTCGTACATCCCAGGGTGCTCGGCCCGCAATCTCTGGTCCCTGCGACAACACCACGAAGCCTGGAAGAGGGAGTCGAATATCCCCCGGTCAGGTAGGTTCGCGCGGCGTCGGCGCGCGCAAAGGTTTTTGACACCACGTCGATCGTTCAACCTTGGGAACGATCGCAACCCCGATCGTTCAAAATCGAATCCCGTCGGGTCCAACGGCGTTACCGTGTCCATCGGTGCTTCAGCGTCGCAGAAACGCCGCACGAACCTACCGTACGCACTCTCCTACGACGGGAGGTTTTTGCCTGTGTACGGCCTCTGGTGGCCCTTACCCGGCGTCGGGACCGTCAAGAAGACGACTCAGGATGAAAAGCCCGTGCTCGGGAATGGGTCTAATCCTCTGGGGGTCGACGTTATGAAAAAGACAAACAACATGACGTCAGGGGTCTTGGTACGGACCCTTCGTCCTTCTTCCCCTTCGGGGAGGGGTCACTAACTACTCCTTCTGATACACCCCCTCCCTCACCCGACCAGCAACTGCCCATGGCCACTGACACCACCCCCCATCTCTGCAAAAAAGACATGCACCTTGCTGCACAACTATTGGGTGATGTTCGGGGGCCGCGAATACTTTGCACTGCATTGCCCTGGTGGCAGGGACGGCGGGGGTGCCGGCATATGACCTGCTGCGCGAAGTGCCGCCATCCTTGTCAATACCCATGCAAGCTGTACCTCGCGGCAACCTCCGGGCCATGCGCGGGCAACCCGCGATCCCTTTGCTGCATGCTTGACAGGGGTGGTAGGCGTGCTGGCATAGGAGCCTGCTTTGCGCAGGCCCACCAGACACTAGGAGGGCCTGCCCGCCGCGACTTGGCGTGGGCTTTCGACAAAGCTGGGGGGAGGACACTCGGGTACCACTGATGTGCTGGGAGGGCAGACTCGGGCACACCCCTTGTCATCACTTCTCCAGGAGCTGGCTTTTCATCCCCGGTCGAATATTCGACGGTCCCGCAGGGGGCCACGGACGAGGGCCCCTGGAGGCCGAAAATCTTAGATCACCTGCAGTCGTGCTCTCGTCCACGGTGGTGCGCTTCCGTGGCTCGGCAGCCGATCCGACCGCAGTGCCCGAGATGCCCCCGCCGTCCGCCGACCCCCCAAACGAGTGTCGGATTGCTCGTGGCGCGAGAGGGTTGCTAGAGGTCTTCCACGTGGGGTCCGCCGATGCATCGACGAAGCATCGACGATGCATCTGCGACGTCGGTGGTGCATGGGCAACGTCGGCGTGGAGACGATCGGGCCCCACATCGAGCCGCTTCGACGATGCATCGGATATGTGGCGCCATCCCCCGACACCTCCTACTCCGATCCCACCTGGGAGGCCTAGATGCTGTAGATCCCACCGCCGCCGACCACCAAGAAAAGCTCGCTCACGGCGCGGGTGGATGGGGGAATCCGGTCCTGTGGTGCGGCGGCCCCGGTGGACTGAGGCGGCCAGGCGATCTCCGCGTAGGCGCGTGCGTCCACGGCGTAGCCCAGGCGGCCCAGGTGGTCCGTGGGCTCCACCCAGGCGGCGACGCCGGGGTGGGCCCTCTCCGAGCAGTCCTTCCGTGGCAAGGCCGGGGCCAGGGCGGCCCGCGCGCCCCCTCCCCGGAGCGGTCCCCCGGAGGGCAGACTGCGACGACGAGGAGGGGGGAGAGGAGGGAGAGGAGGAGGAGGAGGAGGAGGAGGAGGAGGAGGAGGAGGAGGTGTTCCTCTGTATGCTTCCTTATATTCTTTAGAATGGCAACTCGTCTGGGCATCGCCTCTGGATGGGCTGCCCTTCTCCTTCTCAGCCTCCTCCTCCTCCTCCTCCTCTTCCCACTCTTACTCCTCTTCCGTGTCCTTGTCCATCCTCCTCCTCTTCAGGTAACAGCTGCACCTCTCTTGCTCCTGCACTTCCCTGATCACCCCAACTCTTCTGGGCATCGTCTCTGGATGGGCTGGTGGGGATACGCGAAGCGTCAACACATTTGCAACAAGTCAATGATGGACGGGGGGGTTCACAGTGTGGCTGTCGCCGCTGCGCCGCGCGCATTGGTTCCAAAACTTTGTAGCAGCTTCACGGATGGAGGGGGGGTCAAATCGTGGGTATCGCCTTGGCGACGCGCGCATGGGTTCTTAATGTCTGCAACCGCTTCAACGACGGATAGGGGCCGCTTGCAAACTTGAGGTCTCGCTCAGCGCCGTGCACGTTCGTCTTAAACGTTTGCAGTAGCTTGAAGGTTGGATGGGGTGTCCTTCTCATTCTGAGGCCCTCGCCTTAGCACCGCGCGCGTTCGTCTCACAAGTTTGCAGCAATTTAAATGTTGGGGGAGGGGGAACTTCGTACTCAACATGGGACTCTCGCTGGAGCGCGGGGCGCCACACACGTTCGTCGTGCCCTTGGGGCAGACACAAAGACTATGGGCGGACACAAAGATTGCGAGCGGGTCCTGGTCCACAGTGGGCGTGCGCTGTAGACCGTTACCTATCTGCGATACCATGACTTGACCAGGCGCATCAAGCTGCTCGGACCAAGGGCGGCTCCTGGTCAGCATGTGAGCGGTGGGTGGAGGCCGCTGTGAACTTCCAGACCAGGGGCCTCACCGCCGTGCGGTGCAGCTGCAGGGGTGGAGGCCGGTCTGCCCCAGAATGTGGGTCTCGCTCGAGACCTCTCCCCGGCGCCCACGGCAACAAAGGAACCCTGGCGCAACGATTTGGACGCCCGAAATGGGTACGGAAACAATGGGCACAATGCCCAACAGCAAATGCTGTCCCGAACCAACAGCGGCCGCTGTTGGGCAGGCGGCCTTCTGTCTCAAATGGACACAGGCCGTGGCGGCTCGGACAGCGAGTCCTGTTCAAAATGAACAGGAACTGCTGTTGGGCATCGTACCCATTCTTTCCGTGCCCATTTCGGGCGTCCAGAAACGAGCTGCACAGAGAGGGGAGGCGGCCCTCCCGCCAAGCCGGAGCCCGTCGCGCGAGGCCCCTGCGCGCTGTCCCGAGGGCGCCCGCCGGAGGGAGGCAGCCAGGACTCCGGCGGGGCTCCCTCGCGTGAGAGGCAGGCCCAGGGGGCGCCCGTCGCGCCGAGGGGCGGGCCTGCGTCCGGAGGGGGGGGAGAGGAGGCGGCGTGGGGGGACCTGTGGGACGGGGGCTCGGCGTGGTGTCTGCCAGCATCGCGGCTGTCTCCTGCGTCTGCTCTGGGCCTCTTCCTCCTCCTCCCTCCTCCCTCCTCCCTCCTCCCTCCTCCCTCCTCCTCCTCCTCCTCGGTAGCTCCTCCTCCTCCTCCTCCTCCTCCCTCCTCCCTCCTCCCTCCTCCCTCCTCCGTCCTCCTCCTCCCCCTCCCTCCGCCCTCCTCCCTCCTCCGCTCTCCCTCCTCCCTCTCTCCCTCCTCCCTCCTCCTCATCCCTCCTCCTCTCCTCCCTCCTCCCCTCCTCCCTCCTCCCTCCTCCTCCTCCTGCTCCTCCTCCTCCCTCCTCCTCCTCCTCCTCCTTCTCCGGCGGCGGATCGTGTCCTGGGAGCCGCGGTCGGCGATCTGGGGTGGACGGTCGCAGGCGACATGGCTGCTGAAGGGGCCCGCTGTGTCCAGCGCGGCCTCGAGTGGGCCCAACTGTGTCTAGTATCCCTGAGCCAGTTTTTCAGCTTACTCGGGGACACTACATGGTCACCGAAGGTCCATGTGTCTATTGTCTGAACTGCGGGGGATCGGCATCCACCCGCCAGCCCGCAGCGTTGATGGCCCACTGTAATGGCCCCGTAGACTGCGAGACCAGTAGGCTTCGTTCCATGGCCTGAAGAAATCTTAAGGCCAAGTGTCACCCGCCCACGGAGTTTCCCTTAAGAGGTGACACCCACGCGGCTTCGGGATAGCCGCATGTTCCTCTAATCAGTCGTGGCTCCCTCGTTTCCTCGGCGGAGTCACTTGAGTCGCGTGTCCTCCCTCTCCTCTTCCACCTCCTCCTCCTCCTTTTCCTCCTCCTCGTTGTTCTCCCTCTCCTCCTCCTCCTCCACCTCCTCCTCCACCTCCTCCTCCTCCTCCTCCGCCTCCGCCTCCGCCTCCTCCTCCTCCTCCTCCTCCTCCTCCTCCTCCTCCTTCTCCTCCTCCTGCTCCTCCTCCTCCCCCTCTTCCCCCACTTCTGTTCCTCGCCCTTTCTCCCCATTCCCCTGTTGCTGCATGCTGCGGTGGGCTCGGAGTCTCCGTGACCCCCCTTCCTTTCCACGAACGCCCTCCACTTCACTGCTCATCACTCCTCCTCCTCCTCCTCCTCCTCCTCCTCCTCCTCCTCCTCCTCCGCCTCCACCTCCTCCTCCGTCGGCAGTTACACATCGTGAGTCTTGCCCTCCTCTCCCCTGTCAGTCTGCCTGGAAGATGCTCCGCCCTCTCCGCATACTGTCTTTCCACACAAGGTACCCACACGTGGTGTTGCGTCTCTTATGGTGTTGTGCCATATGATCGTCTCCTGTCCTTCGAAAAGGTGTTGCCGCTGCAGCGTTGGCTTGCCTTTAGGAATGGCGCGTTGCTCCCGTCGTTAAGAATGGTACTCTCGCCCCAGCACGGGCCACTGTTCTGAGTCCAAGTCCTTGCTCATCGGTGTCGTCCACCTCCTTCCCCCTCCTCCGAATTCCCCTGGCCCTCATGTTCCTCCCGCTGCTTCCATTCCAATTCCTGCTGCTACTGTTCGTACTCGTCCTCATCCTCCTCCTCCTCCCTCATCCTCCTTTTCTTCCTGCTCATGTGCATTCTAATCCCTCAGATCTCGAACGTACACAACTCGCTTGTTCTTCGATAGCGCAGAGCACGGTGTACATCTGTTTGGAATTCCACGTCCGGTATGACGGGCGTCGGCGGAAGAAGAGGACAACTGCGCAGTGGGAAGAGATGGGTGGGAGGGGTAGGATGCAAGCGCACCTAGCTTGACCTCCCCCCTCTTCTCATGCCTCCCCCTCTCCTCCTCCTCCTCCTCCTCCTGCCTCCTCCTCCTCCCCTGCCCTCTCCCTCCTCCTCCTCCTCCTCCTCCTCCTCCTCCTCCTCCTCCTCCTCTTGCTCCTCCTCCCCTCCCTCCTCCTTCTTGCTGCTCCTCCTCCTCCTCCTCCTCCTCCTCCTCCCTACTCCTCCTCCTCCTCCGCTTCTCCTCCGTCCTCCTCCTCCTCCTCCTCCTCCCCTCCTCCTCCTCCTCCTCCTCCTCCTCCTCCTCCTCCTCCTCCGTGTACCCCTCAATGTGTTTCTCTGCCTCCGTCTCGTCCATCAGATCACCGTCTGGTTCTTTCTGACAGCCAACGGATCATTAAGAAACACGCGCTGCACTGACATGAGCTCCGAATCGACCCTGTTGCTTGATGTTTCTCGTCCGCGTCGTCGTCCCCGTCCCCATCCTTTGCTCTTTCCTCCTCCTCTTCCTCCTCCTCCTCCTCCTCATCCTCCTCCTCCTCCTCCTCCTCGTCTCCTAGCTCCTGCTCCCCGTCCGCATCGAGGCTTCCCCTGGCGGGTAAGGACGTAAGATGCTCCTCGGGCGTTGCGTTTCCAGGCGTTGCGCTCCCCCTTCTCTCCATCCTCCGAGACCGCGCGCGCTCCCGCACGCGAGGGGGCGAAGATGGAAGAGGAAGGTGGGGAGGGGGAGGGGGAGGGGGAGGACGACGGAGAGGAGGAGGAGGAGGACGAGGAGGAGGAGGAGGAAGAGGAGGAGGAGGGGGAGGAGGAGGACGAAGAGGGCGAGGAGGAGGAGCAGGAGGAGCAGGTGGAGGAGCAAGAGGAGGCGGACGACCCTTTCGAAGGAGGAAACAGAGGAGAAGAAGGAGGACGAGGAGGAGGAGGAGCAGGAGGAGGAGGAGGAGGAGGAGGGGAACCATATCCTGGCGAAGGACCCAGCCATATGCAGTTGTGTGTACTGCAATTGTGACTATCTTCTTCGGTGAAACTCGCTATGGGGCCACGTTGCGCTGCACTGGGTGGGGGGAACGCATGCGGGCGGTAGCAGTGGGACCGCCGGTGGAGCTCTCAACGGGGCCACGAAGCGCTGTACTAAGTGGGTGCAAACGCCAAATTGCATGTGTGGGACACATGCGGCGGTCCCACTGGGGGCTTCGGTGGAACTGCCTATGGGGCCACGAAGCACTGTACTGAGTGGGTGACAAAATGCCAAATTGGGTGTGTGGGACGCATGCGGGTTGGCCCACTGGGGGCTTCGGTGGAGCTCGCTATGGGGCTGCGAACCGCTGTACTGAGTGGGTGAGCATGCCAAGGTGGGTGTGTGGGACGCATGCGGGCGGTCCCTTTGGGGGCTTCGGTGGAGCCCCATATGGGACCACGAAGCCCTGTATTGCGTGGGTGAAAATGCCACATGCATTTGTCTGGACGCATGCGGGCGGTCCCACTGCGGGCTTCGGTGGGGCTCCCTATGGGGCCACGAAGCGCTGCACTGGGTATGCGAAAATGTCAAATTGGGCTTTCGGGACGCCTGCGGGCGGTCCTACTGGGGGCCTCGGTGGAGCTCCCTACGGGGCCACGAAACGCTTTACTGGGTGGGTGGAACTGCCCATTTGGGCTTTCGGGACGCATGCGGGCGGTCCCACTGGGGCCTTCGGTGGAGCTCCCGATGGGGCCACGAAGCGCTGTACTGGGTGGGTGAAAATGCCACATTCGACTTTCGGGACGCATGCGGGCGGTCCAATTGGGGGCTTCGGTGGAGCTCCCGATGGGGCCACACAGCGCTGTACTGGGTGAGTGAAAATGCAAAATTGGGTTTTCGGGGCGCATGCGGACGGTGGCACTGGGGCCTTCGGCGGAATTCCCGATGGGATCACGAAGCGCTGTACTGGGTAAGTGAAAATGCAAAATTTGGTTTTCGGGACGCATGCGGACGGTCCCACTGGAGGGCCACGAAGCGCTGTATTGGGTAAGTGAAAATGCCAAATTCGGTTTTCGATACAGTGGGACCTTCGGTGGGGCTCCCTATGGGGCCACGAAACGCTGCACTGGGTGTGCGGGACGCATGCGGACGGTAACACTGGGACCTTCGGTGGGCTCTGTATGGGGGGCCACGAAACGCTTTACTGGGTGGGTGAAATGCAGGAAGGAGGGAGGAGGGGGGGCCACGAAACGCTGTACTGGGTGTGCGGGACGCATGCGGCCGGTAGCACTGGGACCTTCGGTGGGGCTCCCTATGGGGCCACGAAGCGCTGTACTGGGTGGGTGAAACGCAAGGAAGAAGGAGGAGGGGAAGGAGGGGGAGGGAGGACGGAGGAGGGAGAGGAGGAGGAGGAGGAGGAAGACGCGGGGACCGTTATTTCAAAACGAGGACCTAACACCGCAGGATGGTTGGGATAAGAGGAGGAGGACGAGGAGGAGGAGGAGAAGGAGGAGGAGGAGGAGGAACAGAAAGAGGAGGAGGAGGAGGAGGAGGAGGCGGAGGAGAAAGGGGAGGAGGAGGATAGAGGAGGAGGAGGAGGAGGAGGAGCAGGAGCAGCGGAGCAGGAGGAGGAGGAGGAGGAGGAGGAGGAGGAGGAGCAGGAGGAGGAGCAGAAGGAGCAGGAGGAGCAGCTGGGAGACGAAGGGGCAGCGGCGCAGGAAAGGGAAGGACCAGCGAGGAGAACACGGGAGGGCCCCCCCCCCCTCCTCTCCGGCCCCTCGCACGGCCTCACGCAGCCCTGGCGACTCCGACGCCGCGAGCTCTGGGGGCTCCTGCGCGCAGAGCGGGGGCGTCGCCGCTCGGGGGGCCGAGCAGGACAGAGGGGCAGAGAAAGGGGGAAGAGGGAGGGGGGGGGAAGGGAGGAGGAAAAGGGGCAGCGGAGAGGAAAGGGAACGAGGAGAGAGATGGGGAAGGGGGGGGAGGGGGTGGGACCCTCCGAGGGGCTCTACTTTGATGATGCGTCTTTCGTGCGATCTCATAGAAACCGAACGGTGGCGAAGCATACGATGACGACCTGGTAATGCGATCTTCCCCATACGCGTTGAAGGGAAGAGAGGAACAACAATACTCTTCATTGCATTAAGTTGCTGGAAGATCATATTGCTTTGGGGGGAAATTCCAACAAACAAGTATTGTGGTAGGTTACGGATTGATCTCGTGTGTGGCGGGTTACGTAGATCGTGATTCCTCATGTGGAGAGTTAGACCACGGGTCCATGTGTGGCAGATCAAACAGCAACCTCCGTGTTGCGAATTACACATATCTTCCTTTTGCGGGGGACTGGCTGGTGTGTTGTCGCAGAATGCAAGAAGACCCGTCTGCCGAAGAATGCAACAATTGTCCCCTTTGTGGGAAAACGTACCCACGATTCTCCTAGTCGCGGGATGCAAAAAAAGTCCGCCGACCCCTTGGGGTCATCGACGTGTGAAATGCCCCCCCCTCCCCAAACCCATCCCTCCGGGGCCCAGTCCGGTCGGTTTGGAGGGGGGGGGGTCCGGCCGGCCCCGGCTGAACGCGTCACGGGCCTCACGCCAAGAAGCCTACAAGATGGTCCAAGAGGGCCCCGAGTCGCCAATGGATCGTTCCAAGACGCGCAAGATGGCCCCCAGACGGCCCAAGAGGCCCCCGAGACGCCCCGAAAGGCCCCCTAGAGACGTCCCAAGAGGGCCCCCAGAAGCAAAAACCGTCCCGTTCCCGCAGGGAAACGCATGATTCTAACACAGTCGCCTCCTGGGCTTTCACAGCGTCCAAGAAGGCCCAAGAGGCCTCCAAGATCGTCTCAAGACGGCCCAGGAAGCCCCCAAGAAGGTTCCGAGACGGCCCAAGAGGGTCCCAAGACGGCCGAAGAGGCCCCCCAAAACGGCTCCAGGAGGGGGTCCAGGCGGGAGGCCCGAACGGAAATTTCTGGCCATCGGCCTCAGGAAGCCTCCAGGAGGCCCCCAAGAGGCCCCCAAGAAGCTCCGAGAGGCCCACCAGAGGCCCAAAAGAGGCTCCAACACGGCCCCCCAAATGCTTCAAAAGTGCTGCTAGGAGGCCCCCGAGAGACCGACCAGGAGCCCCCCAAGGGGTCGGCGGTGCGGCGGCCTTGACTTGACTTTACAAATGGCTTTTTGCTTTGACCCACACTTGCGTTCTTGTGTGGCGACCTAAACGTGGCTCTCGTTTTGTGGCGGACTTGTAATCTGTGTTTGTGGTGACGCGCGCACATTTGTTTGATGGCGGCATTACACATCGATTCCTTGGTGGGCGGATTGCAAGCGGACTTCCGTCTAGCGGGGTGCTAATGATCCGTTGTGCGGCGGCCCACAGACCGATTCCCCCTAGAAGAAACCTCACACATAGCTGCCGGCAACCAGAGCGATCCAGCAGCCGTGCAGAAGCAATCGCTGCGGGGCGGCCGCGCCAGCGCGCCCCCCTGCCGTGCCGTCGCCCCGTCAGCCCAGCATGCCCAGCCCCACCCCGTCCAGAGCCGGGGCCCTCTTGGGGAGGGAGGAGGAGGAGGGAGGAGGAGGAGGGAGGAGGAGTGAGGAGGAGGAGGAGGAGGAGGAGGAGGAGGAGGAGGAGCAGCAGGAGGAGCACGAGGAGGAGGAGGAGCCCGGGGCAGGCCAGACCTGCTCCAGACAGACGTCCCGCGTGAGCGGCAGGCCTGTCGGGCCCTCGTCATCCAATCTGTTGCCTCTCGCAGCGAGGCGGACATTCGAAGGGACTCGTGAGGAGGAGACTTGGCAGCGTCGTGGATGCATCGCGGGCTTGCACTGGTCCTCCTCCTGCTTCTCCCGAGTCCCCCTTAACCGTACCCCTCCGCCTCATCGCTCTCCCTGCTCCGGCTCCTGCTCCTCCTTCTCCTCCTCATCCCTCTCCTCGTCCTCCAGCTCCTCCTCTCTGTTCTCTGGGCGCAAGTCGTCAGTCCCCAGGGGTAATGATTGTCTGTCTGATGTCCCTTAATTCCCCTTATGCGCTCCTCTGATTTCTTTTCTCCGTCATTCTCCTCGTTTTCACCCCCCCCAGCGATATCGATGCCGCTACTCCCTGGACCCCTCCAGGGGTGCAAACTGACCAGAGCCTCGAGGAGAATCCACTGGTGGCGACGAGGGCCTCTGAGTATGCCCCAAAGGGCGGAAACACGGCAAGAGCAGCGGTATTGGTGCCTGTTCCTTCTCTGGCACCCTCTACTCCCTCACACCCCCGCATTCTGAGGAGGAGCGTTAGGGGGCGTCCTGTTCACGGGGGAAGCATCGACCTGAGATCGGCGACACATCGCCGATCGATCGGCGGGCGATAGGCCCACGACAGCGGATCCGCACGTTCTTGGGCGGGGAGGGCTATCGGGCCCCCATCGGCGATCAATGGGCGATTGCGACCGCTGCGCTCCCAACTGAGCCTACCCCCCCCGGTAAACTTGCCCCTCGGCTTCCAGTCAAAACCTCGGGTCTGCAGCAGCCGCTCGGGATGATCCCGGTCCCCTCGGAAGGTGCTCGGCGAGGCGCAGCCGCTGGAGAGCATCCATCGGGGGTGGACAGAACCCCCTTTAGCAAAACCTGGTTTAGTGAAAAACGACCTCTGGCCCAAGCCTGGAAAATGACGGCCGCGGCGCCCTCTCGAGAACCGAAAACGGACAGTTCACTAATCGACGTGTCAGGGTGGGGGTTCTGTCCACCCCCGAATCCAAAGGCTGGGGGAACCGCCGAGAGTCTGAGAGAACAACCGAAAACCTGCACATCGAGCCTCGACGAGCCTGACCTCCCCGGACCTCCCCCCCCCCCCTCCAGGGCTCCTCCACTACGAAGCGCCGGCCGTCCGACATGTGGCCTTCTACCACCGCAGGCGAGCCCCCGGGCGACGTGCTCACGACGTGGGTGGTCAACTGGCGGCAGCGCCGGCGAGGGGGAGCAACACGTTCGAAAATCTACTGGATCTGATATGGTTCCTTCGTGATGAGGGGTTTGGGCGGGTGGGGTCAGGCCTTTTGGCTTTGATGCGTATGTCGACGACGATCACGCGGTGGACGCGTGCACACCACATCGAACCCACGAGAAATTCGAAATCCACGCGCCCACCACGTGATCGTCGTCGACACGAGCATCGACGCTACGAGACCAGGCCCCCGCCCGTAGGAGCTCCGACGCATGATGGGGACGATCAGCAGGTGACCATCGCACGGCTGCGCGCGGCCCACTCCCAGCATGGGCATTCCGAGGTCAGGACAAATCTCCGACGATATGGCGTGATTGTGTCAATTCTGGCGTGTTTATTGGATTTCGACCCGTCCCCCTGAGAGGCTCGCTCCCTCCGCCCCCGCTTTCGGCCGCATCCTTGCCCCTCCCTCTCCTGCACGGTGGCACACTTCGCTCGAACGGCACCCCCCGTTTCAGCTTTCCCGCCAACGCAGACGACCCCTGCCTCTCCGCCGACGCAACATAGTTGATTGGACTTCGGCCTCTGGGACCCGTCATCGGGCCCTGGGCCAAGCAAGAACGGATCCAGGACGCAGAAAACTCCCCCCAGGGAAGCGTTCGGGACCTCTGGGGCAGCGGACGATGCAACAAGTGGCGCGCGTGCCCTGGCTTTTGCACCAAAGAGCTGCGAGGGACAGGAGGCTTTCGCCTCCTTCCTCCCGGAGTCCCCTGCTGTGGCCAGGGGCAAGGGGGGGGACGAACGACAAACGAACGAACGAACGACGACGACGGACGAAAATAAGGAGGTCTGAGCTCGAGAACACAGATGTGCAAGATAATTCAACAGACTCACATCGGCGGCTGTCAGGGGAGGCAGCACCTTAGTGGGCCCTGGACAGGGCCGTTTTTCTTTGCCGGTTCCGTTTTGCCGTTTTTTTGCCGGTTCCGACGCCGTTTTTGTTACCGGTTTCGTCGCCGTTCTTTTACGGGTTCCCGCTCCGGTTCCAATCCTGGAGTTTTTGTTGCCGTTTCC